TATATATGCATACTAAAATTTTTTCCATTAACTATTGATATGATGCGTCGATTTATTACGATATAACTTAAGAATACTCTGATTCAAAACTGCCTACTCTTAATAACCTCATTTTCCATTTCAAACTTTCAATATCAATATATAGTACAAGGAAACAAAACAAAAGTTACAAAGCTGTCATTTGCTTTTCAATCTTTTGGGTTAGTAACTCACCTTAAGAGCACCTCTAGCGGGGGAGGTTGCTCGGGGGCCAGGCCTCCAAACAGTAACAAATTGCTGGGGGATGACCTCCAGCGTTGGGAAGCCTGAGCGACAGGCGAGGCCCAAGGAGCAGGCCCGTCGAGGATTGCCAGCCCGAGAGCCCGAGGGCTCGTCAGGCGCGTGCGTGTCACGTGCACGTGGACGCGCGTCTTCAGACAAAAAAATAGGCCTGGGGCCCACGGTGCTCAGTTTAATTGTTACCGTTGGGGAAGCCACGTGGCTTCCCCATGTCCGTTCAATTGAAACGGTCCTATTTTATGGACCGTTGGATTTCCAACGGTAAAAAATATTTAAAAATCTCATTTAATTTCATCCGTTTGATCTACGATCAACGGTCCACGTTATTAGGCTTTGTAAATTTAAAAAAAAAAGAAAAGAAAAAACAGTTTTAAAATCTAAAATGTTACCGTTATGACACGTGGCACAATCTGGAGGGTTGGAATTTAAATTTTTTTAAATCCAACGGCAGAGATTAATTAGGTGAATAAAAATTTAAAAAAATGTAAAAAATTCTTAAAAATCCAAAAAAAAAAATATGAAAAATTATAAAAAATTTTGATTTTACTTTTCTATAAATATCTTCTCATTATCTTGTACCCTACACCACAATTTCATATTTTCTCAACTACTTTCAACCACATTCATGTTGTGAAGAATGATGCACGTCATTATGATGGATCGAAGCGACTCTACATCAAACAATTTGGCAGCACCCCTGATGATCGCATAGCGAGCTTGGAGGATACCGAAACAACGCTCCACATCCTTCCTACACCTCTCTTGACATCTTGCAAAGTGTTTTTCCTTTGTACTTCACGGACGTGGCACTATTTTGACAAATGTTGACCACTTTGGGTAAATGCCATCAACTAGGTAGTATGGCCCATCGTACATATGTTTGTTGACCTCATACGTGACTTTTAGTACCTTTCCTTGCAAGACATCGTAGAACATTGGGGATTGGGCAAGGATGTTGAGGTCATTTTGAGCTCTCGGAACCCCAAAAAAGGGGTGCCAAATCCATGTATCAAAAGATGTCATCGCATCCAAAATGATACTTTTTGATCCTTTTCTGTCCCTATAAGTGCCTTGCCATGCACTTGGACAGTTTTTCCAAGTCCAGTGCATACAATCAATGCTTCCAATCATCCCTGGAAAACCTCGCATCTCGCCTTTCTTCAGAAGCCTTTGCAAGTCCATATGAGTAGGTCTCCGAAGGTACTCTGCGGTGTAGATAGATTCGATTGCCGAACAAAACCTCATCAGGGACTCAAGAATGGTTGATTTTCCCATCCTCGTTATCTCGTCCACTTGGTCTGCAGCTGCTCCATATGCAAGCATCCGCAAGGCAGCAGTAATTTTTTGCTCAAGCAGGAGACCCATAGCACCAAAAGCATCCGGCTTTTGCACAAAGTAAGAATCATGGTTGCAAACAGCGCCCATGATTTTGTTGAACAAATGTCGTTCCATTCTAAAACGACGTCGGAAGTATGTATCAGGGAATGCACTGTTACGGACAAAATAATCGTCCAAGAGCTCCTGACCTTGTCGTTGCCTATTTCTATCAATGTTTACAGCACGGTTGAGCCTGCAGATATGAGCCATAGCTTGGACGACTCGACGGGATTGTGAGGCTCCTGCCCTTCTTGATTCGTCATCTCTCCGTCTACGTTCGTCATCCTCTTCCATCTCATTTTGGGCCCAATCCCCAACATTGAACATTCCTTCTGATTAGTTAAACAATTCTTCCTCTTCTTGATCGATTTCCCACATCATCTTTGAAGAAGAAGAAGAAGACATTGTAAGAATGAAGTAAAAACTATGAATAATGATAGGGATTTTGGTGAAGAATGAAACAAAAACTATGAATAATGATAAGGATTTTGGTGAAGAAGGAAGCAAACTATGAATAATGATAGAGATCTTGAGAAAATTGGTGTGAGATTTATGAGGATGGATGGTGAATTATATAGAGGATTCAGAAAAGATTAGGTTGTAGATAATGTCACGTGGCATGCCGCAATTTGTTAAAAATTTGGTGGAAATCTATCCTCAAAGATTGTAATCGGATTGTGACACGTGACATGACGTGATTGGTTAAAAATCTTATCAAAAATTCATCACCAATAATTGTCTTTTCAGATAATGACATGTACCTTGACACAACGATTAAAAATCTTATCGGAAATCCATCACCAATAATTGTCTTTGCGGATAATGACACGTGGCGCAACGAGAACGATTAAAAATCTTATCTGAAATAACAAATAAAATTCTTTTGAATTATTTTATAAATACAAAAATTTTATTGCTATTGGCCTTTCGGATAATGAAACGTGGCGCAACGAGAACGATTAAAAATCTTATCCAAAATTACAAATAAAATTATTATGTATTATTTTATAAATTAAAAAATAATAATATTTTATTGCCAATTGCCAGGGCTATTCAGTGCAGAGGTGGAGATGCAAAAGGCAATTGCCAGGGGAATGCACTATTCATTAAGGGCAGTTACTGTTCACTAGGTGGATTAAATAGTGAATAGTCTTGGGGGAGGGCTCCTACACTGGAGTTGCTCTAAAGAACGTGTTGGTTGAACTAGAACCAATCAGATCCCACATAAAAAAAATAAAAAAATAAAAATCCATAAAAACAGATTCTACTTGAACTTTATTAATCATTCAACTCCATTCCCCTGTGTAATCTTAATTAGCGATCCTAAAAGTTCCATATTTATAAAATACTAAGCAAAGTTAGTGCTCTTGTTTGTTACAAAACATGTTCAAATTTACCATGCATGCATGCATGTATGTTTCAGGTTTCAACACGCTCGCTTGCTCTACGCGTGGGAACTGAGGACAGAAGACTGCACTATTTGCTTTTTCTTAGTTGGGAAATTATCTAGTTTTTAACTTTCTGTAAATATTATGAATATTAAATGTAATTAAAGGAAAAATATTACAATTAAGCTTAAGTATGTTACATGACCGACCGTTCTTCACTAATAGTAAGGCACGAAAAATACGCTAGCTAGTAGCTGGTTCCCTGACAATCTGAGTGTATTTTTACACTTAATTAATCAAATTTTCAACCATTGAACTATTAGATTATCAAGTCTGCGCTTCTTGTCTCTTCGAATACAGGAGATCCAATCCAATTTGCACGTTAACGTAAGCAAAGTATTGAAGCTGATGGCATGTATATGTCACTCCTTTGTTCTTATTTGTCCCCTAAACTCTTAAGAGTTTTCCACATTGGTCCTTTTATTTTGTCTCAAATTGGCTCATAAACTTTTGAAAAGTGTGTTTGTCAAGGATAGAAGGGTTTATCGTTACAAAAGTTAACAGAGTAGCACGTGACAACTAGAATTCTCTTTATTTCTTGGCACATGTCCACTTATGTTCGAGATTAGGCATATTGCTAAAAATGGACAAAACCAACAAATTCCATACGTCATTTTGGTTAGAGTAGTCACTTTTAATGGGGACTTAAAGTAATAAATTAAGACATAAAACTAGTTTTAACTATAAGAAAATCAACGATAAGTGACATGACGGTAGAATATGATTTAATATTCTTTTTATTAACACGTGTCTTTTTGAGTGGTTGTTTTAGTGTCACAAGATATACACGGTATCTCTTTATTCTTCATATATTGACCACATTTCTGATTCCTATTTGCATTTCAGTGGGTTGGTCTGGTATGAGAAGTTTTGGGAAATGGTGTATAACAGCATCTCTAACTTGTGAATTTCTAATGATCGTCGTGTTCCGCATGCTAGCTCGTTTACTATTCTATGTTCTTCCAAAAAAGCGTACTAATCTCTATGTTGTGTGGAGCTGAGCATCTTCTATTCCCTAGGATAAAGCTTTTCTCTGCAAGGGCCTTCTGCTGTAAACCCCCTATGGATGGTCGTCCATCGTAAAGTAGTCCTCGTGAAGTTTTCGGGAATAAGGGCAGTCTTGTGTGTAAGTATAACATTTCTGGTTGAACCCACCCAACTTCCTTTGCCTTGGTTTGTTCCATTGACAAAGATGCCAAGTGACTTTAGATTTTTGAGTTATTGCTATAGCCAAACATGAGGGAAATATCATTTATATGGATACTAACAATATCATTAAACACCTTATCAATTGATTAATTTAGTGTCAGTTTGAAAAGCGTTGTTGCTAACCTAATTGAGACCGTGGTGTAATAGAGCCAAGAAAGAACGAAATGACTCTCCCACACCATTAAACTTAACTAACGTTGTCATCCAACACATTTTAAAAACTTTAGAGACAAAATGTGACGGGAGAAAATGTTTGAGGACCAAAGTGGAACAACCACTAAAGTTTAGAGGCAATTTTGTAATTAAGTTTTCTCAAAAGATCTCTCTTTGCTTTAGCTTTAGTAGAATAGTAGTATTAACGACGCGGATCTAAGTTTGAAGATTAATTTTGGTCTCCCTCCTACCTTTTTATGCTTAGTCGTCGATTTTCCTTCATTTCCCTCTTAATCTAAATCATCAAATCACCAAATGAGATGATGAGATATATAATTTTGGTGCTTAGCTTAGCTTATTGGACGGAGAAAGCGCATGAAGGCTGAAACGGTCAGCAATTGGACTTCCTCTATACTCTTAACTTTGAACCTCCCAATTCCTATGACCAAAGACTGGTCTCCTATGAAGAATTTCCACTTCGATTTTCCCAGTCAAACTTCTCTATTCCTTTCCCTCACATTCTGTAGATTCAAAAACACCTTCCCATAAATCCCCATAACCACCTCTCCCTCTCATTCCTCATCAAGTTTCCACCTTCAGATTCTTCCCATCTCATCACTAATCACAGTGATTACACATACTAATCCAAACACAAAAACTTACCCTTCTCACAAATCTGTCTCCCGTTTCATGGTCTGGTAGTTTTTGTCTCTGATTTTGGTAAAAATACATATTTTACTTCAATCTATTGAAAACCCAGTTCTTGTTTTCCGAAATCTTAACAGATAACTTCGTTCCTATATCTCATGTGCTGCTACTGACAAATGGAGAACTGCAATATACATTGGGAGCAAAAGAGTCTTGTAAATGAGCTAGCACAAGGGAGGGATCTGGCTAGGCAGCTACAGATCCATCTCAACGTTCCATCTTCCTTATGGAACCCGGGAATTGCTGGTTCAAAAGATCATACTTTCGTACGAAAAAGCGCTTTCCATGCTGAACTCTAGCAGCTCAGCCTCAGGAGGTGAGCAACAACAGCCCACAGGTCATGTTGCAATTCGAATGGTTGAGTCTCCGCCGCATTCGCTAAATGAAAGTCCCCGGAGTGAAGACTCCGACCGCGAATTCAAGGACCATGACAACAAAGATTCCTCTAGGAAGAGGTTAATATAGAAAGAGATTTTCATGATAATGTTTTAGTACTTAAGGTGATCTTAAATGGTTGTGATTTTTATTTTTTCATGAATGTTGCAGGAAAAATCTCCCACGGTGGACACAACAAATAAGAGTTACATCTGGTATGGGGCTTGAGGGGCCTCTTGATGATGGATTTAGTTGGAGGAAGTACGGCCAGAAGGACATACTTGGAGCCAAATATCCAAGGTATATAGGACTTTAGATTTTCTTCGTACATATATAATCTATCTTTAGGTCTTCAAATCAACTAGCTCCAATTATAGTTTAATCGATAGCTATGACATATAACAAGTCCATGCGAGAAAATCTTAGCTATCTTTATTATGTATATATTTTTCTCTTTGTCGTTTTCTTCGTATCTTTCTCATCACGTGATTGTCATGTAATGAAAGAGACAAACAGAGAAATAATACTCAACAATTTCATATAAGTCTTCTCCTTCCTTTATCTTAAATTACAACAAGAGCATATATAGTAAACATTAGAAAGTATGACTTGGTCAATTGAACCATTTGTTAATTACCCTTTATGACTGGTCAAATGAACCGTTGACAAAAACATTAGATTCATTCACCTTGGCAGAGGCTACTACCGCTGCACTCACCGAAACGTCCAAAGCTGCTTGGCCACAAAGCAAGTCCAACGTTCCGATGAAGACCCGACGATCTTTGAAATTACTTACAGAGGAAAGCACACATGTACACAAGCCTCCACCGGCACAAGTACTCCTCCTTCCCCGTCACCGTTGCAGCCCGAAAGGACGGAACGGCAGAATAACCTAGTGGATCCTCAACAAAACCAGCAACAATCACAACAACACACGCTCTTAAACCTCCCGGAAGGCCTCAGAGTCATTACTGAAGGATTAGACACTCGTGAGGAACTGTTCCCCTCCTTCAACAGTCCCTCACCATTGAACAACAGTTATGTGGGAAGTTTTTCTTCTCCATTTGCGGGACCTACAACTTCAGGAACAAACTATTTCTCAATGTCTCAGCGGGATTTTGGAGTTGACCAAAATTTTCAGAGTGGAGAGATAATCTCAGCTCCAACTTCAGCTACCAACTCTCCAAGTGTTGGTTTAGATATCCCATTTGGTCAGGCTGATCAGTTGTTTCCCAACTTCTCATTTGACGGTCCAGGATTCTTTTCCTAATTTCACAGGCTCCCACAACACAGAAGGTGGGGGAAATTGATTAGCATACAAAATTTTAATTAAGCATTCTGAATTTTAGGTATATTTGTGTGTAGCATCTGTGAGAAAGTGTAGAATAATCGGTCATGTAACATCTGTTATAGTAGTCTGATATATGTTCCATAAACAAAAAATAAACTGATATGTAGTTTCTTCCCAATTTTTATTCAGAAAAATAAACTGAATAATGTGTTTTAATGATTTTTTTCTATTACCTTTTTTTGGGTAAGGGCCAACCACAATTGTGTTTTACCATATATTGGGTTGAATAAGGCCCAATAGTAGCTAGGTCAGGCCAGTATTTCTTTTTTCTTTTTGTATTTGAGGGATATTTTAGTCTAAGTGAACTGGAGGAACATGCAAACTCGGATGTAGAAGGGTGAATAGCGAACGAATTGTTCTAATAAACTTTGTTACGTTTAGATTTGTATACCCATGATCTGTTTAAAACCGACATTATTTTATCCGTCCATTAACTATATTTTTTTAGTCATTTGCTACTTCCTCCATGGGAAAATTCAAAAGAAGAAAAGAAGAAACATAGGAAAAGGTGAAAGAAAAAATGTAGAGTAATGGTGTTTGGACTTTTTTGTTAACATATACCGAGTTACAGGGGAAATGAAATGGAATTTGGCTGTCTTGAAGAAGTGTGGTCAATGATCCATCAATATAAATATATGTTTCCCAGCCTCAAACATGCCGCTTGTTAACTAAAAGAGGCATCTCACAAGAAAAAACCAATGGAATTTATAGCAATTTGCCCCACTATATTGATGTGTGTTATAATGTTCTGGTAAATATGTCTATTGCTTTAGGGTTTGGTCCAGCTGAGTTGGTATAATCATGAGCTACCTAGCTATCTACAACTAGAATTTAGCTCGAGTAGGAAAGATTTTTCAATGTGCTCGGAACATGGGCACATACGCCAAATGTCATTATACAAGTGAAGAGACACTTGAAAAAAAAGTTTCCCTCCAATTCTGTAATTAATGACATTTGGCGTACCACCTCGTGTTCCGATCACATTGAAAAATCTCTCCTTAAGTAGTAGGGAAAATGATGTCCAACTTATAGACGAAGACCTTTATATGGATACATAAGGGTTTCACATCTTCTTCTTCCTTGCATTTAATTTTGACATACTCTCAACGAACGGTTGTAGTACTAGTAGTCTAGCATCCACATCGTTTAATTTTGAAAATAGAAAGTTGAATAAAAGATGTAAACACTATGTATAATGAATTCACATGTTATAAATTATATGTGTGACAATGAGTTTATGCTTTATGGAATAATTTTGAAACTAATATATGTGTTATAGCATAAGTAAATTGGTTATATACCACATGGTAATGAGTAAGACTTAGCTGTAGGAGAATGTGATCAAGTCTCATCTTATAATTATGTAACATTCGTAATTAAATACTTTCCATAATTTGAAGCGAGAAGAAGTTAAAGTTCATGATATATTCACATCCACATGGAGCTTTTTTTCAGTAATTAATAAAAAGAATTGCGAACTTAATTCATGCATGGATGTATACATGAAATAAGACCCTTGAGAATGCTCAATTGACAATTACAAAGGGTTACCCTAGATAGGCTTGCTAAAAGTAAAACAAAGTTATTAGTGGTCTCCAATTCATTGGTTATATTAAGAATATGGAAAAATGCATGGCTTCCCACATTCTATTTTATTAGAGCACCATTCGGAGATGAGAGACAAACAGAGAGATTGCGGTTGGGGTAATTTTGACCGAGTGATGAAATATGATAGCTACCGGCGGATGTTTTAGTGTGCTCCAGAAGATTCCATATTTCGAAACTTTTAATCGTTAAATCAATGGTTAAAAATACAATGATCAAAGATTTAACGATTAAAAATTACAGTGTATAAAATACTTCGAAGCATCATAAAAGAGACTCATTTAGCAGAATGTTTGCTGGATTTGGTGAACGAGTTCCTCGGCACTAAGTTGGCATTCAATTCCAATCTAGCAAGAAAGCACATACCAATCATTAGCAGCTAGCTTCAGTAAAATCACAATTTAGACACCACATTATTAATTAAAACAATCCCTTTTTAACATATACATTTGTACTTGGTAGCTATATTCAATGTCTGAAAATGAAAGATCGATGACCCAGTTTTCCACAATTTCTTCTTCTAGTGGGGTTTCAAGTAGACAAGCATTAAAATCATTACTCAGTTCAGGTACAATCAAACACAGTACTTGTATATATATGTAGCTGTTTTTTCTGTGAAACAGGAAATGAAATTACTGTAAGTATAGTACAATGGTGAGATAATATCCATGGCAGCTAGCTAGCTAACATATATTTACCTATTATATGATCTGGTAAAAGTCATTTACCATTTTACTATCTCAAGGTTTAGATAGTCGATCGATTGCTTTAGCTTTTATATTGTCTTTCTATGTAGTTAACACTATGAATGCTAAAAATAGTTGTCAAGATTGTGGGTGTCTCATGTAACACATCAATGGCTGAGCCCATGCAACGAATGTAGCACAGCTTTTTAACACTAAAGTCTGACAGGATTGGTATAAGCAAATATTTTTAAACAAAATCTAAAACTAGTAACTTATTAACGAAAGCAATGAAGTTAATCAATCATGTATTTAATTTAGAAAATGAAATTAAATTACCTTGATGGTGAAGGAATTAAGCATGGTTTCGTCAGCGGTGGTGATACTGACATGGAGAATTTCTAGCGAAAGGTCTTCAAGAGTGGAAATGATTTTTAGAGCCTGTCCAGGTATCCGAGGAGACACTGTTTTCAAAAGAACATTTGGACCCGAAAATTTCACCTCCACATCCGCAATGGCGGACTTGGAGTTGGCGAAAAGCTCGTTGAGATTGTCGATACTATTATTAATGGAGGAAGTAGCACTTGAAGAAGTAGGGGATGGATCAAGTGATGAGCTAGCAACCATTGTTGGACTAGAAATCAGATAATTACCAAAAATATTAGGAGCTGCAGGTAATATTTGTGGTTGTTGCAATATTGTCCTGGCTGCCGTTGGCTTATAAGGGCTTGTGGGTTGTGGAGTTCTTGGGCTGATGGGTGGTAAGCTGCTGCCGCCGAGCCTAGGGCTGAGAGGTGGCTTTCTAGGGCTGAGGACTGATGGTGAAGGACCAGGTGGCCTTGGACTGGAAACTTGCTGCAGCCTAGGGCTGCTTAACACTTCACAGCTGTATGCTTTTCGTTGCTTTTTGGCTTCAAGTGATTGAAGAACTTGCTGCAGCTCATTGATGTAATCAACCACCCCTCCAATAATTGAAGCTTGATCTCCCTGATGAATCAATCAAGACAAAAAAATTAGGTACAATATATATATATATATACAATTGCACTACTAAACAATTCATATATACACATATTTAAAAAAAAAAGGAAAAAAAAAAGGGCGAAGAATTTGTTTGTTCTTTTCTGAAATAACACCCCAATGGTGTGCAAGGGAAATTTTATTTAATAAGAAGAATCACTTCGTGCTTCAAGTAGCTAGTTAATACTCAACAGTGATGGCCTTCTACCTTTTTCAAGTTTGAGGTTGATGGTGAAGGAAGAAAACATATGCCGGAAAAAAGAAAAAAAATAGAGAGTTGTTATTGTTATTGACATTTCAAAAAAAATCACCAGAACTAAATAAAAGAAATAAGACAGGATACTGACTCGTTTAACATAAAAGCAAGGCATAAGAGAGCGCAAGACACTCAAGTGGTCGTTCATTTGCTTTCTACGGTTGCGCTCCACTGTTGTATGAGACATCCGCCCTCCATCCTGATCTGAAGGATTCATGGTTGTTGTGGTGGCAGTGGCGGTGGGGGTGGCAGCTGATGAGAACTTGAGTCTCTTGGTTTTGGGGGCAGAGTTAGTTTCATCAAGCTCGGTCTGATCAGCTGAGGAGGAGAAGTCTTTTGGTGATGCGCTAAAAACAGCAAGTAGTTGTTCATATTCCAATGGAGCTGTAGCTGACGGCTGAGGAAAGTCCACAATTCCCCCGCCTCCTCCTCCTCCAAACCCATGATCATCTAAGCTCTCTAACATGCTAAAAAGATCGTCTCCCAGAGTGCCTAAGTTACAATCGGTATCGCCGTGGTAGTACTGCTCATGTTCTTCGAGAAAATCAGATGAACGGTCGCGATCGTCCATGGCCATCTATGGTTGCTGGATATATAGCTTTGGTTAGCCAAAAAAGAACAAAAGGAAAGGAAAAAGAAGCCAACAGAAGGGAAAGGACCAAACGTGGGTGAGGGAGAGGGAGGAGGAAAGAGATGGTGAGAGAGAGAGAGAGAGAGAGATTGTCAAGATCAAGAGAAAGTATGTATGGAATATGTAGCGGTAGCTAGGTATACGGAAAGAAGTAAATAAGAGAGGCTCAGGTGAAAGAGACTAAACCATCGCCATCATCTCTCTATTTTTCATTTTTTTATCATGCATTGGCTTTGGTTCTGGCTTGCTTGGTTTGCAGTACTGTGCATGTGAGAGAGAGAGAGAGAGAGATAGAGAGAGAGAGAGAGAGGGGTTAATTCCTATTCAATTTTCTTGGTTCTGATTCAACTTTTAGATTTATATCTGCGTGGATCTTGTACAAGAATCAGGGAGGCACCAATGGAACACAGGTGACAGGTCCCAAGAAATTATGTGTGTGTGTATATATACATGGAGTAGATTTTCTGTAAATCTCCTTCAGTCCCCTCTCCTCCTCTTTCACTTTCCTCTTTATCTTTCTATTTTTATAAAGAAGTTAATGTAAGATATTGACGTGAGTCAGTCTCAAATTTTCTTAGAAAAAGGGGACTAGAGCCTATTGAGGGAAGGGAAATGAGAGATGAAAGAATCCAGATACTATATGTATCATGTAAAGTAAGTTCGGCAAAGATAATGTCAATCACACTAACTTGTTACGTTGATAGGGTTTTCAGTTAGAAACAAATGTACTAACTAATTAATCAACGTTCCTAACGTCGGAAAACCTAGGCCTTGGGGGTATATGAAGCTACGAGCTATGACTAATACAGGAAGCTAAGCTAGGGTTTCGGTGCAAGCCGCAGTAGGGTTTAGGCTTTTTTTTTAGAAATTTGATATCCACACACTTCATTTTACTTCTCACATATTTTTTTAATTTTTGACCGTTGGATTGGATGAATTGAAGAAGATCAACGGATAGAAATTATTAAGAGGTGTGTGAGAAGTAAAATGAGATGTGTGGATAACAGATCCTTTTTTTTAACAGATTGTATCAATTTTTTGAAAATATGTTTCGGTGCAAGCTGTAGTAATTTATGGCGTGGGTTTGGTTGCATAAAAAGGCACGTACGTACTTGAAAAGAATGACCTAATAATAATCTGAATTTACCAGAGGTCGCAGCAGACAATTCTAAAAAGTGAGGAATCAATTTAAGGACTTTGGTTCTTTAATTATAGGGAGGGGAGAAAGAAAAGACGTATGATATTGAATGTGCCATTGTTGTTGCAATTGCTAAAAGGGCTGAGGGAATGTTCCTCTGAGAATTATTAACCTCTCCCCCAAAAGTAATAGTACTATATATATATATATATATATCACTGATGGTCAGAGAGAGGCATCTGCTGTTGAATTGATCATCATCACTAATAGGATTGTTCGTCTTGAAATTAATTAAAAAGTCAACAGAAATATAAATAAATTATGATCTGAACTTCAGAAACGTACCAATATTAACCAATTTAAAAAGAAAATTATATATAAACTAGAAAAAATTAGATTCAGGGTTTGGAGTTTAAAAATTAAGTAATAATATTAGAAGCAGCTTAATGGGTGTTCTTGGGTTCTTTTTGGGTGCATGATGGGGTCTGCATTAAACTACTGCTTTATATATAGCTAGGCAAAAGTTCATACCCAACAGTTAGTACAAATATATCGATCTATGATATTATAGAAAATATAGGAATCTGTAAAATGGGACAAATTGAACAAATACATGTGTTTGGGCAAGAAAAGAGTAGAAATAAATGAATGAGGGACAGGCCACAGCAGGCAGCAGGCAGCCATATAGATCGATCCAGTTTCAGATGGTGGTGATGAGGACATATAGTTGAGAGGATCTGCAACTTGTTTTCCTAATTAATATTAATAGTTATATGGGCGAATTGAAATGTAGGCTTTCAATGTACGTGCAGACACGGCATCTCCGTGCCTACGATGAAATCCAAATCAATTTCAACTTGTTAGATATTGACATATTGTACACCCCTCCTCTCTCTGCACGCGACAATATGTTTTTATTTTAAAGAGAGCGATGATTTGTATTCATCATAAAACAAAGGATTGCAACCAGGGAGGAGAAATCTTAAGTCATGTCATAAGGGATTAAATAAGCTAGATTACACATCAGGTTTCGGACTTCGACTGCTAATGCAACATATATATATATATATATATATATATATATATATATATATATGTGTGTGTGTGTGTGTGTGTATGTATGTATGTATGTATATACCCCTTCTGCTGCAAGCAATTGGAAGAACCAGCCATGCTGTAATATGCTAAAACTAATTAGTTGTATATATATTGTTCATCTATAAATCAGCACGCAATATCTAAGTTGTTGTAAAAAGTCCAGAAAACTAGAATATAATACAATACAATACGTCACTAATCAAGTAATCAGTGTGAAACTGCCCAAGGGCAGTTGTGCAAATTGCAATGCATGGTGGCCGGGAAGGGTGAGTGACAAAGAGGAAGGGAAGTACTTGCAAGTTATAGCATGGGAGTGTACGCGTTTCATTTAAGTGGTTCTGTATGTACCATATAATTGGATTTCTCATATTTACTTCACTCCTACATATGAGTCCAATTCTAGGTTATCACCCATCAATTTGCACATTTACCACCCTCAACAACCTCCCCCCTCCCTCTTTCTCTCTTTACTTAGTAGAATGAGTTCACCGTCATTGTGACATTTCAAACAGCTAATATAAAGCTATGTGGAGAGAGTTTTAAACATCTTGTATTAGTAGTTTGGAATGTTACGAGCATGTTATATGAAAGTCTCTTTTATCTCACTCTCACCTATTCTATATTATTATAATCTGTAGTTGTTGTGTATATTTGTCGTCTTAATACCTCTTTCTTCTTCATTCTTCTTGTTATACAGATAACTGCGTTCAAATCAAAACAATTTAAAGCATCGAATCTCTCTTCTTGCTAATACTCTATATATGTGTAATATATTCCACCCTTCCTCTTTTCTTTTCTTTTTCTTACAACTCATCCATGGAATCTTTCTATTGGTGTACAACAGTAAAATAAATATGTGTAGTAATGGTGTCTGTTGAACACTGCATACCTATCTGACTGTAGAATTTGGATCCGCACTACTCCTATACATAGCATGTCCATAACCATAAGGCTGCATACCTATATAAGTATCACCGTACCTGCTGCAGTATTTTGGACAAATGTACGTGACGTTGGAAGAGTACGTAGGGTAGGAGTGAGGATCCGCACCGGATCCTTAAATCACATTTATTTATCGTATATCGTGCGGTCAGAAATCATTGTAATTATCTTCTTATTTAAAATTAAATATAAACCGTACCTGATGAAAACTGACCTCACGATGCACGATGCATGATGAACGAATATGATTGGAAGATCTTCGGAATCCTCACAAATAAGATCCGGCGAGGATCCTCTCTCCGTAGGGTAGAGTCTCCTAACTATTATGATGAGACTGATCAGTAAATAAGTGATTGCATTTTATTTTTTGAAGCTAGTTCTTGATAAGATGGCCTTTAGAAGAAAATGAAATCTTTACTCAGTCTTGTAGATTTAAGTTAATTTGCTTGTTTTTATGGAATTATGGACACTTATTTCATGCGTTTTAGTAATTAACCTCTCTCTATATATTTTTTTGACGAATTTAAATGTGTGTGTGTGTATATATATATCTTGTTTTCCTATAAAAGCTAAAAATATGCCCCAAAATAGTCTGAAATATATACCTTAAAATATTTATTTCCAGAAATTGTTGTTTTCACATTTTCAACCAAATTATTGTTCAACTTAACTCTTCTTTTTATAGGCATCTATTTGTTCATACAATAACACACAAATTACAACATAAGTGTTCTTTTGGTAACCTGATAACGAAATAAATGTATAGTCACTCACCTATACATTTGAAATCAAAAGTGGAAAACAAATGAATGTCTTTTTATTGTTTTAATTTCAGTTAATGGTGAGTGACCATAACTCTGTGGTCATCGGCTGAAGACCTAAAGAAATGAGACTTTACAAACTTGTTTTCAAATTTCAACCAAATTATAATCGATCGAACTTCTTGTATACTGCGCATTTATATACTGAAAACAGTAACACATAACAATGCATAAAGTTCCCTACAAATGAAACATGTTTCAAAATTTCAATCAAAATACTATTCAGAATCTTTGCTTTTTAGGTGGACATTTATACTAATAACAGTAGTGCATTTCTAATTTCATAGCTAGAGAAGTTAGATAGGTTCCGACAGTCTGCTACGTACGTATGATATAGATTTACCCGATCTAGATAAGTTCTGCATGAAGCAGCATCGATCTGTTTAAATGTGGTAAATGAATTGGAACATACCACTATTCATCATTTATATCTTCCTACAGGGAAAAATAAATGAGAATGTGGGACAAAATTTTAAAACGAAGTTGGCAAGAATCAATACATTGGGACCCTCTCCGTCCCTCCTCTTCAAACTTCATTCACTTCCAAATCTGCAAACTCATTCAATATACCCTCCACATACAATTTATAACACCCACGCAATGTATGAGAGAAACATTACTACTCCGCACAGTCCACCCTCCACCCTTATTACATATATATTTAGGGGGTTTTATTTGAAATTAAAGATTAAAAAAAAAAATTTCTACGGTGGTTGATGAAGTTTTAATGGATCTTTATAGATGTTATGTGGATTATGAGTGACTCCATGTGAATGTATTGGAATCCCTCAAAGGATACTACTTGCATTCTCTTTTGGGGGCATGCACATATCTCGAATATCGTATCCATGTTTGGAATGATTCAATTTATTAAGGGGTGTGTTCTCTACACACTTTCTTTTATTTCTCATACACCTCTGTTAATTTCTGTCATTTGATCTTCTTCAATTCTTCTGATCTAATGGCCGAAAATTAGAAAGATGTGTGAGAAGTAAAAAGGGTGTGTGGTGTGTGAGAAGTAAAAGGGGTGTGTGGATATTGCACCCCTTTATTAATCTTTATTTGAAGAACATTCGTACAAAAAATTTATTGGAACCGGAGTTCATTTAGTAATTCGAATATATCAAATAAATGGACAGTTCATCACGAATACGTTACTTGATACTCACACTGTATATATTTGTTCAATATACACATTTGGATGCATAAATGATCTCCGTATTAAATGATTTGCAAATGAAGATTAACAAATTGAACAATTCAGTTTATAAAAATTATA